CATGTGTAGGGTATAAAACTGGAGAAGAAAATTGGAGGGAAAGAGATTTATTCACTTTTGCCCTCAAGAACCTATGTCCATAAAATGCCAGGTTTGCCTTAGAGAAGCATACCTGTCCAGCTAGACTCCAGCAGTGGTGGGATGAAGCACATCGAGGGAGGCTGGGGTCAGGAGTTCAGGACACCCAGCAAGGCTGAGCCAAGATGCAGGTAGGAACAAAGAGCCAGACCGAACGTGGCTTCCCCATGGAAAGACCCAAGTTCAAATGGCTTCAGAATCAGGCTGTAATCTGGGGCTCAGGCTGTTGGGCATGTTTCCTGTCCAACTGTGGGTGTGAGGAAAATGCATGTGTGGCACAAGTGCTGTGGGCACAGAGCCAGTGAAAGGCATGGGGTGTCATTCAATCAAATGGGAGGCAGGAGCCAGCTGGCAGAGGTAAGTGCATGCAGGTATTATGTATTTATCCTATTTTACTTCACACTATATTATTTTTTTTAAAGATTTTATTTATTTATTTGATAGAGAGATCACAAGCAGGCAGAGAGGCAGGCAGAGAGAGAGGAGGAAGCAGGCTCCCTGCTGAGCAGAGAGCCCGATGTGGGGCTCGATCCCAGGACTCCGAGATCACGACCTGAGCCGAAGGCAGCGGCTTAACCCACCGAGCCACCCAGGCGCCCCCACACTATATTATTTTTAAAATTTATTTCCTTTCTGGCCTCCTTCCTAGAAAGATTAAATTTCACTTTCAATAAATGACACACTGAGATAAGAGATTAGGGGACAAATAATGCACTCAGGGAATTAGATTGGGGAATGGATACTAATACTAAAAATACTACACCTCAGTGAGTCACAGCTCAGCCCCAAACCAGCTGTTTTTAAGTCCACATTGACTGAACTGTGACTATGAACTAAGCACTTATCATACCTGATCTTGTGTTCTCCCAGTAACCTAGAAAATGGGTATTTTATTATTACCTCCATTTATTACTTATTTATTATTTTATTGTTATCTCCATTTAAAACATTTGGGGAGAGTGCGCCTGGTTTTGGCGGGTGCTGGTTGAGCATCTGACTCTTGGTTTTGGCTCAGGTCATGATCTCAGGTTCATGAGATTGAGCCCCATGTTGGGCTCCACAGTCAGCACAGAGTCTGCTGGAGATTCTCTCCCTCTCTCTCTCTCTCTAATAAAAATAAATCTTTTTTCCTCTTCTTCTTCTTCTTATTTATTTATTTTTAAAAAGATTTTATTTATTTATTTGACAGACAGAGATCACAAGTAGGCAGAGAGGCAGGCAGAGAGAGAGGAAGGGAAGCAGGCTCCCTGCTGAGCAGACAGCCGGGTGCGGGGCTCCATCCCAGGACCCTGGGACCATGACCTGAGCTGAAGGCAGAGGCTTTAACCCACTGAACCACCCAGGTGCCCTCTTCTTCCTTTTTAATAGCAAATGAGGAAATTTGACTTGTAACTTGCTTGGAGTCCCACAGCCAGAACATGGCAGAACTGGAATTTGAACCTGGTTTGGCTTTAGAATTTGGGCTCTTGATCATATACATAATACCAACTCTGAAGGTGGCAGGTGTGGAGAAATCAAGTCAGCAGGTGGCCAGGGTTAAATGTCAAGACATCTATCTCCTGAAAAATGCTGGGTATCAAGAGAATAAGGCAGGGAATGCTGGACGGATAGTGCAGTTAGAACATGAACAAACTCTATGAGTGTATGCTGTCTGTGTTTGGGACCAGGATGGATTCTGTCCTCAACATACAAGTAGAAATTACATGGCAGTAACTTTTAAGCTTAGGAAGAGAAAGGGAAAGAGAATTTAGAATGTCTTAAACTATTCCTCCATTCCTTCCTTCAACTATTACAAGCCACATCACAGAGCCCTTGGTGCCTAATGATAGACACCAGACCACTCACCATGACTGGTAACCAAAGGAGGTGAAAGATCACACGAATAGAAACTTGACACAAATGTGTTTCCAGCATTGCCTGGGAAATCTCTCTCCTAATTCCTAGTTTCTGTTCTCCCTCCTCTGGTGGGGCTTAATGGGATCTGGATTTGGTATACTTCCCTTCTTAACCTTTTTTCTTTATTGAACTTAAGTCTTAACCTTTTTTCTTTATTGAACATTTTTTGGGGTTGAGTTCAAATGTTCAATAGCATTTTTTGCATACTTACTGTGGACCAGGCACTATGCTAGGCACTGAAGATGAATGGAAAAAAATGAGTTTCAGGCAGCTCTATGCCTCTAAATACCACCAGCAATGCCAGCATAATGAAACTGTTCTTCAGAATCAACTGAGGACCTCCAGAAATCTATCTATGCTCTGCAATCTCCATTCTGAAAAGTAAAGGCTGTGCTCATTATCTAGGTGGAAGCAAAAAATAAGATGATGACAAGATTTTTGGAAGTAGTGGAAGATTCAGGGATAGAATCAAAGATTAGTGACTATTATATCAGTGTCCCTTGTGCAATATCAGATTACCTCTTTTAGGATTTGTTTGAACTCAAATCTGGTGGCAACTCTGTGTCTGTGAAGTAGCTGCAGGTATGGGGAGCATTTGCTGAAGCTGCTGAAGTTATGGATAAAAAGACCAGAGAAAGCAGTGTGAAACACAGAAGCCAACATTCTTGGTTGTAAGTAATACTGAAACATATTCTGGCATACTTAGGCTGGAAAGATACTTATTGGAAGCTCTTGGGAAGCCAAGAGAATTAGGGAAGGCTGACGGTGCCAAGGAGGGCTGGAGGAGATAGGAAGCTGGAACTAAATCTATGTTCTAGAAAGTCTGGCATTGCCATCACCTCTGGAGTGGCTGCGAAGCTGCTGATACTGGATTTGGGATGCCACTGCCATTGGTGGGATGCAGTCTCAACAGGCACTGCCTCTTTATACATTTACTTTCAATTCTCAGTCCCAGACAGAAGCATCCAGTTGATGAAGCTGAGATGATATGCTCACCTTACAGGGCGGGAAGAAGGGATACCTGACATTTCAAGTTTCCATGACACAAGGTGAGCCCTGCTTTCCACTCAGACTCATCCAATGATGGATTCCACCTCCTCCCCAAGGAGGGGCGTTCATTTATTGAGCAAACAAAAACAACAAATGTCAACCATAATGGAGACAAAAAATAAAGAGAAAGAAGTCCTAGGTGGTCCTTGTATGTGTTCTATCCCAGTCTTCCCCTGTTGGTGATAGAATCTTGTTATTTCTCTGCCTTCATCCCCTAGAATAATAGTATTAAATAAAGACATATTGGAAAACACTTCCTCAAGGATTCCATTTCTTATGAAATCGCTTCCATATTTGGTCAGAAGGGGGCACCCTGAAAGGGAAATGAGTATTTTCCATTTGTCCTACTCTGCAGTGTGGAATAGGGCAGTTAACACCTAGCACTAATCAGGAATAGTAGTATTAATATTAATAATTTAAGGAAAGAACCTAAGGAAAGATAAAGTTATACAAAGAATATGTATATACACACACATATATACATATATGTATATACACAACTATACACATACATATATATACATATTTACATATACATATAGTGAAGAAAAAAACCCCAGTTAATCATCAAGTTCAACATCAGGCTAATTATTTTTCCTCCTCTTAGTATTTTGTTGTTTCATACATAACAATTAAATCTCAGAATGTGAGATTGAAATACCTAGGTCAGTAAAATGCACAGTACTCCTGCATTTGCTCACCAAAGCAATACACTGTCAAAGGTGGGACACCAACAGAAGGGATTTACAAAGTTCCAGTTGACTTTTAATTGCATGAAGTATAAGGATCTGGATTCCCGACCTTAGGGTATGAGGAATATTATGATGTTAACTATGAAGGGATTGCTTATCTATCCAGAATAATGAGTGTTCTTAAACATTTTGGGGGACAGAATGAAAACAGCAAGATATATTTCATCTTTCCCTTACTATTAGCAAAACATCTTTTATACACACACACACACACACACACACACACACACATATATATGGATTTCTAGACCATTATTTCATATCAGCATTACTTTGTCGTGGGAGTCACAAGAATGTCAATCTGAGAGATATAGGCCTTACAATAACTACGAGGTTCTCTATTTCTGACTTTCTACGACCATCCACTCCACATTTTGGGGTCACTGGATTAGCTAATTCTTCCTAGGGCAACAAAGGACAAACCCTTTTAGCTCTTCATGGTTTTGTTCAGAAGTGAGGACGTGATTTCCTGTCCAAACCAAGTGCACTTGGACCAGTAACTCACCAAAATGTTGCCTGCTATGACAGCGTCAATCAAAAGTGTGTGAAATTGATATGGACAGTATCTTGGGTATGAATATAAATACATTTTACAAGTTAAAATGTCCCTTCAGTGACAATTTAATGCCAAGAAGTTTGTCCAGGTTTCTCTGTAGTTTATATTTCTCATTCCTATAGTCGGGTCTCTGACTTAGGAGTTCCTTATACTTTGTATCCTTCCTTTGTGCCTCTGGCGGTCCTTCAACAGGAGTACTAAAAAGTCTATTGATTATGCACATTTCACCAGAACCAAAAAATAAGTAGGATAGTTTGGAAGGCCCCAGTGACTTCTAAGAAGCATTGGCCTAGAAGGGCAAGATGTGTATGAAATGTCTCTTGTTCTTCCAAATTGAGTACTTAGGTCCTTAAGTAGTACATAGGTACTTAATAAATACTAACTGCATGAATCAGTGAATACGAATGGTAAACGAAACCGTTCTTTACAAGCACGATCTACATCCAGCTGGAAGCCCAGCATGTAAGTTTACAGACCGGCCTCCACCCGAAGGCCGCTTTCCTGGGAAGTCCGAGCTTGGGCTGAAGAGCAGTAAGAAGTGCCGGTCAACCGTCGCGACAGGCGGGCCTCGCACCACCTCTCCACAGCCTGGCACCTACCGGCTCTAGGACCCCGCGCAGCACCGACTGAAACTTGGAGGCGGGACTAGGAGGAGGCCGTCGCGCACACGTGACGTAAACCAGCTCGCGCCAGCGGAGGTGAGGAAGCCGGGAATAGCGCAGAAACACGTTTCTCGCTAGCCTCGGTTCTCACGCGCCATGGCGACCCCAGTCCAGCAGCCTCCTCAGTCGAGCGGCGGAAAGCGCAAAGGCAAAGCTCAGTATGTGCAAGCCAAGCGGGCGCGGCGCTGCGACGGCGGCGGGTCCCGGCAGCTGGAACCCGGGCTACAGGGTATTCTCATTACCTGCAACATGAACGAACGCAAGTGCGTGGAGGAGGCGTACAGCCTGCTCAACGAATACGGCGACGACATGTATGGGCCGGAGAAGGTACGGGCCCCGGAGAGGGCAAGCGGCCTTTGAGGAGTGAGGGAATACTGCAAGGCCGGCTTTCTTCTACGCGTGCGCGCATTTTGTGGCGGAGCTGGCGAAGGGGCGTGGCCGCCTCTGTGCTGCCGCCTCTTTACCTTATCTGGGTTGCAGACCCTAGCCGGGTCGTGTGCTTGAAAAACTTGCAGCTTTCGGTTGTTTTTTTTGTTTTGTTTTGTTTTGTTTTCTTCCTACCCCATTAGTAATCATAGTGGCTTCTATTTATAGGTTGCTTCTGCGGCCCACATGTTGTGTTTCTGAGGCTCTCAAACGTTTCCTACTTAAAGTAGATTTGTGGAGTAATGTTCATGAGGACACTGAAACTCAAGTTGGTTAAGTGAACGGTCCAAGTTAATAAAGGAGACTTAACTTGTCCTCATAGTTTCTGACGTATCTTACCACATTTACACCCTGGTTGTAATGATGTTTGTCCTGAGCGGTGTCTCTGAAATAGTGGGTTTAGTACTAGTGCTAGTTATTTTTAAAATGCGCGTGTAAATGCAATTTAAAAAGTAAGAACTTTTTGTCCTCACACCACCTAAAACCTAATTTTCCCATCACAGTTTGGAAATCATCATATTCCTAACTTAGGATCAGGACTAATACATACACAAACACCTCAATGAATTAAAAGAGGGAGGATAATACAGGGGGCATTTGGATTCAAGGTCCATTATTTACTAGTTTTAGGGCTTGAACGTGGGTGTATTATTTAATTTTGCTGAGCTAAATAAAGAAAAATGATAGTGTACTTAATGTTGACTGAAAAGTTGCTTATGTATATAAAATACATCCTGGCAGGTAATAAAGTTTCCATAAATGTGTATAATTATTATTAGTGCTTGTCTGGCAAACTAATAATGGTGGGGCAGAGAACTGGGCAAGAAGTGAGTGTCCTGTCTACACTGGTACCTTGAGCAAATTCTTGACTCTTTCTGTTCCCTGTTCCTTAGTAGAATAAAAGGGCTTTTTATGCCCTGTTTGGTCTGATGGTAGTTTTTGAATGTAGGTGAGGTCCAGAGCTGAGGCCCAAGAAAGAATTCTCGAGAGGTCTTTGGTGCAAAATGGTGGCTTTATTAAAGCACCCGGTCAGGACCTGTGGGCAGAAAGAGCTGCTGCACAGGGATTGTGAGGTGTGACTGATTATATACTTGGTAGTTGGGAGAGGTAAAGGAAAAGGGAGGTTTTCAAAAGAACTTTTGGATGTTAAAGAGGACATACAGGATATTAGAGTCTTTGCCATTATCAAGTTAGGGTTGTTTTTTCCCCTCTACTAAAGCATTAACAGTAAGATATTTGGGAGTTTCCTCTGGAAGTTAGGTTATTGATAAGAAATGCTTTTTTTTTTGCCCCCCTGGTAAATCACTAAAACATTTGTAAGATGAGGGAAACGCTTGTCCTGCAGGACTGTGATCTCTATTTATTAACCATTTGTTTTTCCCTCCCTTAGCATTAGGGCAGCCAAGTGTACCTACCTCAAGAATGTCACACATATCCCACCTGGGAGGGGACTGGGGTTTGCAAGCTGTCAGGTTGGGCTTTGTCCTCTGCCTTCTACTTGCTCATCGTAATCTCACCAAAAGGAGAATGTCTTAATAGGCGCAAAGGTATCCGGTGATGGAATTAAGGTCTATCTTGAATGAATTCATCTGGTGAGCATGTTACCCTGTGTCCCAGAAAGTTAAGATGTTTTTCAAAGCATTTTCAAATTATATGTGTCCCACTCTGAGGGAACTCCGTTTTTCCTCCACATTTCGTAGAGAGCGATGTCAGCTTCTTTCTTTTTCTTTTTTTTAAGATTTTATTTATTTATTTGAGAGGGAGAGAGGGAAAGATAATGAGAGGAGAGAGGTCAGTGGGAGAAGCAGACTCCCTGCTGAGCAGTGAGCCCGATGTGGGTCTTGGTCCTGGGACTTCAGGATCATGACCTGAGCCAAAGGCCGTCGCTTAACCAACTGATTATTGTCCAGGCGCCTGCGATGTCAGTTTCTTAATAAAAAGCTTTATTGTCAGTATTGACCCATCTGCCATTGGAAATTTCACATAGGTAGTTAATTGTAGCTTTTAACATGAACTCTTTTTGCATCTCTGCTCATTTGTTTCATGCAGTTTATGGACAAAGATCAGCAGCCCTCTGGAAGTGAGGGAGAAGATGATGACATGGAGGCTGCCTTGAAGAAAGAAGTTGGTGACATTAAAGCATCGACAGAGATGAAGCTAAGGAGATTCCAGTCAGTGGAGAGTGGAGCAAATAATGTAGTCTTCATCAGGACACTTGGAATAGGTACGCATGACTAATAAACCTTAAGATTATTGAGCCTATAATATCTGGACATCTCCTTGCCTTAGAACACTGCCTACAAAATGGCTTCATGGTTATGGCTCAGTTAATTATTTGACTGATCTTTTCCACACTGTTCTAGCACTAGACATATGGAAGGGTCACATGGGGTGGTGAACATCACATTGGCTTAGGAGTGGAAACCTGGCTTTACCACTTTCTTTGTATGTAACTTTAGGTGAAACAAGAGTACATATTCTGTTTAAGAGGAGCAGTGCCAGCCAATTTGGAATGTAAGCCTTTAGGGCCAGATCTTCTGGTTTTTCAAAAGAAGTTGAAAATCTGGAGAAGTTCGTAGATTTTTTAATGCAGTTAACTAATTTAAAAGTATTAAAAACACTCAGTAGCCCCAAACAGACTTGTAGGTAGTGAGGATGGCCTAAGGACCTTATCATGATCTTGTGTACTTCATGGTTTGGGGGCTTCTCTGAGTTCCGAGATCTAGATTATTGTCCAGACTTAACTAATGGATAAATTAAATCTTTTTTAAAATGACTTGCAGATTTGTTTTGTAAAAGAGTGTACTATTTAATAATGTTACGTTTGTAGTTGCTATTGTTACAGGAAAACAGTAGGGTGTTGGACAACGAGACATAACAAAAATGTTAACTCCAGTGTCTTAGTGAACAGTTGTTTTTAATGAAAGCAGTAACAATGCTGAAGAGTTAATATATTAGGGCGCCTGGATGGTTCAGTTGGCTAAGCGATTGCCTTTGGCTCAGGTCATGATCCTGGAGTCCCAGCATGGAGTCCCACATCGGGCTCTCTGCTCGGCAGGGAGTCTGCTTCTCCCTTTGACCCTCCCCCTTCTCATGCTCTCTTTCTCTCTCTCTCTCTCAAAAAAAATTTAAACAAAAGAGTTAACATATTAGATATAGTAATAATCAGTATAGGCAGTGAAGAAAGTTGGAAAAAATGTTTGATTAGACTTATTTAACATTCATTATGATAATTTCTTCTATTATACTGTTGACATAGGTCACTGCCAATGAAGAATTCATCAATTTCAAGAGCTTTTAAAATGTCTGAGAGTTTTTATTCCTAACTTACTTACTTGTTTGCTTTGTGCTTTTTTTCTTTTTTCTTTTAGAACCTGAGAGATTGGTACATCATATTCTCCAGGATATGTACAAAACCAAGAAGAAGAAGACTCGGGTTATTTTACGTATGTTACCCATTTCAGGCTCATGCAAGGCTTTCTTAGAAGATATGAAAAAATATGCAGAAACATTTTTGGAACCCTGGTTTAAAGCTCCAAACAAAGGGACATTTCAGATTGTATATAAATCTCGAAATAACAGTCACATGAATAGAGACGAAGTTATCAAAGAATTGGCAGGTATGTTTTTCTTAGTGATTTTACATTAGTATGTAATACTAAATACTTGTTCTTGATTTTATTAATTTTTTTTTTTTTACAACTTAAGGCTTATATTTTTTAGTATAAAAGAAGTATATTAAAATGTCTTTAAAATAGGAGTACCTGGGGGCACCTGGGTGATTCAGAGGGTTAAGCCTCTGCCTTTGGCACAGGCCATGATCTCAGGGTCCTGGGATTGAGCCCCACATTGGGCTCTCCGCTCAGCAGGGAGCCTGTTCCCCTCCCCTTGCCCCATCTGCCTCTCTGCCTACTTGTGATATCTCTCTCTGTCAAATAAATAAAAATCTTAAAAAAAAAAAATAGGGGTACGTGCCTGGCTTAGCCAGCAGAGCATGTGACTCTTGATCCCAGGGTTGTGAGTTCAAGCTACACATTGGAGGCAGAGACTATTAAAAAAAAAAAAAAAAAAGTCCTTAAAATAATATCAAACCTAACAAATTTCAATATGTTGGTTATGAGACTTTCTGGTAGGTAGATAGGAAATCTTCCAAATCAAGATTTAATTTTCTTTGGAAAAAAAGGACTCTAATTAATGTCTCGGCATTTCATTTGTATTTATTTATTGAAAGGGTTCACAGCATTCTTTTTGTAAAGATTTATTTACTCATTAGAGAGTGTGAGAGAGCATGAGCTAGGGGTGGGAGGAGAGAGAGACAAGCAGACTCCCCACTGAGCAGAGAACCCAATAATGGGGCTTGATTCCAGGACACCGAGATCATGACCTGGGCCACCCCACTCAGATTCACAGAATTTGACTGGGGACCATGTAGAAGAGTAGACTGTATATATAAATTGGTTTAACAAGTCCCAAACAGAAAGATGAAAGATTGTATTTGTATCTGTCAAGCTTCATGGTATCCATCTTCCTCTGTTTTCCTCTTCTTTTTGTTACAGGAATAGTAGGCAGTCTCAATTCGGAAAATAAAGTGGATCTCACTAATCCGCAGTACACGGTGGTAGTAGAAATCATTAAAGCTGTCTGTTGCCTGAGTGTTGTGAAAGATTATATGTTGTTCAGAAAGTATAATCTCCAGGAGGTGGTAAAGAGTGCTAAGGACCCATCACAACTTAACCCAAAGCAGTCAGTGCAAGCAGGAAATGGGAAAGAAGCTAAATTGGAATCTGGTAACACATCAAATCAACATGATCCAGCAGAAGGAGAAAATAACCAGCAGGTGGTACCAGAAAATAACGAGGAACTGGGGCAGACAAAACCAAGATCTGAGACACAGGTGGTAAATGAGGGAGGAGCTAAACCTGAACTTGAAAGTCAAGTCACAGAAAGATCTGAGTCAAATGAAAATGACCTCTCATAAGGATAAAAAAACCTCCTTTGGTGTTGCAGGTGGGTTTCCCAGATGGTGTTCGGTGAGATAGTGCTAGGATTCCGTATAAAATTATGACTGAAAATACATTGTTTTTGACCTTTGTGCGCTGCATAATGCTGAACTCATAATATTGAACAGTGACTGAGAAACCCCATTAATGGTTCTGTTGGAGATCTTTTGAACCCCCTATGCCAGTGTGCAGTTAGGCCTATATGCATTTGGTTGAGCTAGGAGAGGCTATGGATAATGATGAACACTTCCGTGCAAGGGAGGGTGGAAGGAAGATGGTGTTGGCTTCTCCCTCCTGATTATCTTCCCCAGCCTCCCCTTCTGTGCTGGCATCTGACTTAGGGGAGCAAATGAACTCTGTAAAAGAGAAGTCATAGGGAAATTTTCATTTAAGGAAGGAATTTTTATGTGTTGCAACTCAGCTGTCCCTTCCTACTTTTGTTGTAAACATTGCAAAAACATGGGTCTTACAGGTTTAGAAGTGAATTGTTTTTGTGAAGTTTTTTTCTATCTTTTTGTGATTCTGTTACTTAGTTATGTCAGTTTTTACATTTTATGAACATTTGTTACAAATATGATGGTCCAGTGCTGTAATTTTTGAAGACATGGTGTGAGATAGAAGAAGACCATTTTAGGCATAGAACTACAGACATTTCTGCTAAGGTTAGTGATGAAGAATTAGTGTTCTGAGTTTTTCAGTATGGCAGTGGAACAAGAGACACAAATTCTTTTTTTATAGTGAAAGCTACTTTTCAGTGATCTTATATAGACTTAAATCCAAGTTGTTCTATTGCATTATGTATTGTCAGTGGAATGCAATTTACAAACCTAGCATTTCTCCAGCAGTTGTAACTAAGTCAAAACCATTTGATGAGTAAAAATGTTTCTTATTTTAATGGCATCTGGAATATCAAAACAGTAAGCTTTTGTTTAAAAAAAAAAACATTCAGGGGCACCCTGGCTGGCTCAGTCCATACGGCATGAGACTGTTGATCTCGGGGTGATACATTCAAGGTCCATGTTGGATGTAGAGATTACTTACAAATAAAGTCTTAAATAAAAATCACATTCAGTAAAAGGTCTAAGAAGCAAATTATTTAGTAACAGCACTTATACCAAGAAAAGAAAAATTCACATAGTTGGTAAGAATCGAATCTCAACATAATGTTAAAATGCTAGAGCAAGAAGCAGTACAAGAAATTGAAAAACCTTCACTTTCAGTTTATTAAATTAACTATGTCACCTGATGCTAAAAAATTAACTGAAAAGCAGCAGCTTCTCTATCTGGGTTGATAAAGTCAACAGATTTCACAAATATTTGTCCTACTCTAGCTTTGGTAAGATTGGTAAATGATGATGAAATTCAAGAAAGCTTTTTCTGCTATGAGGAGCCTCTCAAAACAAAGGCAGTATAAATTTAATGGGTCTTCATAGCTGAAGGCTGAAAGTCTGTCATCTTTACTTAGGGTGCTTATCGGTTTTGCTCATTTTGGTAAAATCCTGACAAAAAAAAAAAAAGCACATGGCTTTCTTCACAGAGAGCTGCTGATATAAAACACTTGGCGATGAAATGAAAGTTCTGGATAATGCTGCAGAAATTATTATTAAAGACCCATTTATATAAGAATGTTTAAAAAAAAAAACAAAAACAAAAGTCTGAACAGAGAGCACATAAATCTACGTACAGAAATCCAGTGGCTTGTCAGAGGAAGAGTTCTCAACAGGATGTTTGAGTTGAAAGGTGAATTGCCAGAGAGTACATACAAGGAGATATTAGGCCAGATTTTTTTTGAGTGCTCAGGAGCCCAAATACGGCTAGAGAAACTAGTCTGTTCAATGGACATTTTTCATCACATGAACAAATGAAACAAGTTTCTGCAAGGTCCTGGAGAAAATGTATTTTCTTGAAAATGATAAGATTCCCAGATTAAAAAGAAACACTCTTCAGAACTATCACTCTGCCAAAGGAACTCTTGAAATGTTTCCACAGCCAGTTGGGCTTGAGAATGAAGAAAAGACAAGTCTGGAGCCTTAACTAAAACTCTCCATGAAGAACTGCAAAACCCAATTAAATAGCATTTTCTCTCCTTTTCCTAAAACTGAGGGAAGAACCTCTTCTCTGAATCTCAGCCCGAGATTTTCTCCAGGAGAAGAAAAAGAACTCTGTGAATCATAGTCTGATAGTTCTGGGTTTTTGTGAAATCAGAGTATCCTTAACTTACTGCTCATACTCTCATGCCATGAGGGTTCCCTTAATTTGGAAGATTTTTCAAGGTTTCCTCTAGCGTAAAATTACTGAAAAACACTGGAAGAGACGGACACCAAAGAGGGCTGCATACTAAGTCCATATTATGAATAAATAGTAAGAGGCTGTGAAATAAACTTTTGGAGATGGGTTTATTAAGTTTGAAACAGTTCAGTAGTATTATAAATATTGAGTCTTCCTGCACCAATGTCTATGTTTATTTAATGGCTAGGGAATATGGGAATGTATTTTTATCCTCCTAAACTAGTGGTCCAGACTAGAAGGATTTGGGAGGGGCAAAGGCTGATTTCTGTACAGACTCGACCTTGGTTAATGCAGATGAGGCTGGAGCGTCCTTCTAGATCTTCGATATTTAAAGTGTTAACTCTTAATAGGTTGAGGTCATCTTGGAAGGATGATAAGAGCATTTTAAGTGTCATTTGTGTGAACATGGAGGATAGGATTTTGGTGCCTTCATTGGACTTACTCCAAGAAAAAGATCATTTTATTTTGATAGTGCAAGACTCTGGGACTTCGGGAATAAAAGTGGCCATATGCTTTTAGAACGGCTAACTCTGCAGAACTGGATTCCTTTTACTTTGTTTAAGCTGCTACTCTACAGAAAGATTTTGCTTTAGTAGTTCATTTTTAATCTTCTTGTATTTACTTGTATTTGGTAAGACTGAGTGCGACAAAAGCTCTTCTTCCCTAGTTCTAAAGCACTGTGTTCTGTTGGAATCTGAATCCCTTTATTGATATATGAAAAGTTTCCCAACTTTATTGTCGCTGACATTTGAGGATGTTGTTTTATAAATGACAAATTTCCAGGATAGGAATTGAATGGTTTCTTTTTTTTCCTTTTAATTTTTTTTTTTTAAGTTATGTCAGTTAAAAAAAACTTCAGTATTGTGGTTTAATAAACTTGTTTTGCTTTGTGGAGGAAGGAGTGTTATACTTAGTATCTTGAAACATGTTTGTGTAAGGTCACACATGATTTCTAAATGTTGTTTTTACTTGTATTTTGCTTTTGGTATGGCCAGATATTTAGCTTATTTTTCATAGTTCCTGATACTTTCAGAAAAAGCAAAATAAATTTGTTCCCTAAAGATTGGTGTTCTGTGCTTTTATTTCCTGTCTCTTATTAAATCTCTTGCTTTATAATAGATAATAAAAGATGCTTATATGTCACATTATGTATCAAAAGTCATGTACATTGTCCTAAAACATATAGATATAAAACTCTTAATAATTGCTCTTGATTAATTACTCTTAAGTAATCCAAACTTGGGATATTCTATGCTTTAAAAGGAGGTATGGGGTGCCTGGGTGACTCAATCGGTTAAGTGTCCAACTCTTGATTTCAGCTTGGGTCTTGATATCAGGGTTGTGAGATTAAGCCCCATGTTGGGCTCTGTGCTCAGTGGGGAGTCTGCTTGGGATTTTTCTCTTTCTGCACCCTCACCCCATTTTCTCTAAAATAAGTAAATCTTTAAAAAAAAAAAAGTATAGTAATACAGTACTCGATTAAATTCACTTACTGGCTTTTGAGTTATTTATATTACTTATTTTTTAAAAATATTTTATTTATTTGAGAGAGAGGGAGAGATCACAAGTAGGCAGAGAGGCAGGCAAAGAGAGAGGGGGAAGCAGGCTCCCTACTGAGCAGAGGGCCTGATGCAGGGCTTGATCCCAGGACCCTGAGACCATGACCGAGTTGAAGGCAGAGACTTAATCTGCTGAGTCACCCTGGTGCCCCTGTATTACTTACTTTAAAATTAATATTTTAATTCACTTTATTTCTGTTAAGTAGGCTCCACACCTATCAGAGCCCAACATGGGGCTTGAACCCATGACTCTGAGGTCAAGACCTGAGCAGAGTTGAGGAGTCAGATGCTCAACCGACTGAAACACCCAGGCACACCTTTAATTCACTTTAAAGAACTAGTAATACAAGATGTTAAGCAGAAGAAATTCTGTCTTGAACACTTCTCTTAGAATAGTACTAATCTTTATTTTGACTTAATCAGGCACAAGATAAATTCATTGTCCACTGTGCTTTTCTAAGTAATCATTTGCTATTTTAAACGCTGTTGGTCATTAAAATCACTGCCTTTGTCAGTTTGGTCATCATAACTTTTTTTTCCCAAATATTTTTGAATTATTATTTATATAATTTTTGGCTAAGTACAGAATGAAAAATTGAGTTTTTCAACCTGGAAAAACCTTCAGCATTGCAAGAGAGTAATCTCTAAATCAGCAGGAAGCAAGGACTAAAAAGTCTATAACTATTTAATGCTGTAGTTGCTTATTGGGCTATGTTCGACCCCATTCATGGTCTCTCAGAACATTGCGTTTGATTTTCCCGGTGATTGTCTTCGGGAGTTCTGGAACAAATTCCACCTAATTAACAGAGAAACATACTATGAGACACTTGATTCCGTTTTGACAATTCCAGTTGTCAGTACAACTGGGAGAGCTTTCATGTAACTGACGAGTTTGAGTCTGAGGAACATCTTAGCCTAAACTCATTGAAATTCTTGTGTTTATTGTCCAGTTGACAATGGACCTACATCATGAGTTTTTAGTGCAAAGCCTATATGCTTTATCAGACGGATATAATGACCCTTTGCTCCATTGCTTCCCCTTCCAGTTCAAATTAGAGCTGGGCCTCTACTGCCCCTAGGAAATAGAGGCCACACCTAAATGTACAGAGAAGCAACTTAATTCTTAGGTTTGGGGCTTTTAAGAGCTGGATCCTGCAGCCCCTTTCTAAGGGAAACTTTTGAGAGTTAATTTTGAGTATAATTTACCCATTATGCTCAGAGTAAAATCCTTTCTCTGTTTCCCTCGCTCAAGATGTGACTTTAAAAATTTTCTCAATGTTTCTGCAAATCAACTGGTGACTGATTTAGTAAATTTGATGGAGAATATGTATCTAATTCTGAGGCTGAAGTTAACTACATTTTGGCTGAAATACCAGTTGAATGGAATTCTCATCTTAAGGATCAGTATCAACCAACAGTATTCCAGGATTAAAAGGAAGGAAATTGCAGTGCCATCATTATATTTTTTATATACAATTATTCTTAAATCCTCCCTTGAAGTTTTCAGGAAAGATTCCACAGTTTCTTCAGATAGCATTTTTTTTCTGGGCCTTAAGTTTGGTCACTTGATACTTAAAAGGCTTGTGCTTGGAGAGTATTATGGCTTGAGAGTACTGATAACTGAATCAAATGCTGTCTTTAAATTTTTTTCCATTTTTTCCCCTCATGAAATGGGACTGATTAGTCTTAACAAGGATCCTTAGTAGTTGTTCAGTATTGCAGAGTTGATCAAAACTAATGTACCAAACATCTGTCCTAAAATAAATTTTTTAAAGCAAAATTCTTAAGGCTAAACAAGTTGAAGTAAGTGTCTTCCACTTATATAATGAGCAACCATAAAGTCAAAAGCTAGTAAAATCTATGTATTTAATATCTTAGACCCTTATTTGGTAACACTTAACTTTGGGCAAATAATACTTGCCTTTCTTGGATATTTGTAAGGTGCAGTTGATTTTTTCACATGATCCTGAAGTTCAAGAATTAATTTCTCTGGGTTGGATGATTTAAAGGGTGCAGATAAGACAACAAAAGCTTTCACTACCTGCAGGAGAAAAGTCAATTTATATTGATTTTTTTTCTTTCAGACACATCAGGAGTTTGGAACCAAAGCCGAGCACAGACAGGTACTTATAATTACTTGTTTACACAACTTGAGTGATGAACGCAAATCCAGAGATCACCCTTGATCTTGGATACAAGTGGGGTTTTGAGATCTAATTCCAGATAAATGGTTTGTGAGTGTGAGGAGTGCAGTGTTTCAATAAAGCTAAAACTCAAGTTTTGTTTACATGTCACACATGTATTTAACATTTCAGTCAGACTAGTCCTATATGTTATACAGGCAGTCCTTGATTTGCAGATGATCATTTATTCCAGACCTACACTGTTAGAAGCATATAATAGGGAGACAAATGGAGGTTCCAGAGAATATGGTTTGAAAGGGATTTGGGGAGGCTTGGTGGAGGGATTTTGTATTCTGGGAGATGAATTCTTCGGAAGGATCAATCTACCTCTGAAAGGTCTTTTTTGCCTAATTATTTCTTGCTTCTCTTTGGAATACTATACAAAACCCACCAATTAGATAATTATTAAGGTTAGTTAATTATACTTTAAATTATTAATTATTCATACATTGATTCCAATTGGTATTTACTTCTAATGTTCAGATGAAACCAGCTATATTGAGAGAATGAGAATATGGTGGCAGGAGAAAAGTATTTTGGACAAGAGAATCCACTGGGTGTGGAGGTGGTGCAAGAGGTTTGAGTGTGGGATCCATAGAGTCACTGCAGAGGGTCAGAGAGGGCGCCTGGGTAGCTCAGTCAGTTAAATGTCTGCCTTTGCCTGGGGCCATGATCCCTGGGTCCAGGATCGAGCCCCACACTGGGCTCCCTGCTCTCCCTTTGGGGGAGTGGGGAGTCTGCTTCTCCCTCTCTGCCACTCCCCCTGCTTGTGCTCTCTCTCTCTCTTTCTCTGTCAAATAAGTAAATAAAATCTTTTTTAAAAAAGGATCAGAGAAAGAGATGTGGGAGGATGCTGATACACAAACTGTTTTTGGAATTTTGCTACTCACTAAATCTGCCAGAAACTTCCATGAGGAAAGGAAACATCTCCCTTCCATTCTATATGGCTTCCTCTTAAAACTGTCATTCCTTAAGTTCCCTTTCATTAGGTCCTAAGTAGGCTAGTGAGACTTGTTTGGGAACCTGGCCACAGTCTCCTACTTGCATTGTTTCTGTGAGACAATGTATTCTGATTTCCATGACTATTGTAAATACAGTAAAATCTGCTTTTTCTTTCTTTTTTTTTTTTTTTTTAAAGATTTTATTCATTTATTTGACAGAGAGAGATCACAAACAGGCAGAGAGGCAGGCAGAGAGAGAGGAGGAAGCAGGCTCCCTGCTGAGCAGAGAGCCCGATGCGGGGCTCGATCCCAGGACCCTGAGATCATGACCTGAGCCGAAGGCAGCGGCTTAACCCACTGAGCCACCCAGGCGCCCCAAATCTGCTTTTTCTATGCAGCATCTGTTCTCCCCCTTTTAGTAATAGTACCCTGATTTTCCTATGGAACATTACCCTAACTTTTCTGTCTGGTGGTCTTGACACTAACTTCTACCTCCAATGATCAGCATATGATCCAGGTCTGGCCAGCGAGCATATGCCATTCCCTGGCCACATTGTTTAGATATGTGATCTAAGATAGACACATATTACTCTGGGAGTTTCTTGAAACTGTTGGAAGAGGAGCTGTCTCCTTTACTGGTTGTGAAGCTGTGTACATTTGGAATCAGTTGCTACCACGTAGGAAGAACATGCCTGAATGGAGCCACCCTAAAGAACAACAGCCAGGAAATGAAGAGAGACAAAGCTTTGCTAACTTCACATGAACCCTTGGATGTAGCTGTACCTAAAGACCTCACTTACGTGTGGGCCAATAAATTCCTTTTTAAAAAAACTTAAGTCAGTTTGAGTTGAGTTTCTGTCACCACTAAATGAATCCTAATACATCCCACTTGGGACACAATTCATTCATAAAGCTGAGTGCTGGTACCCATTTTTGGCACATGGGTGCTTCGTCATGAGAATTACCTGATTACTCCTGATTTACTCTCCAGAGGGGTCAAATGGATAGAACTAGAAAATATGAAATTGCTACTTGAATGATATTCACTCTACCTCTCCTCTGACTGGATCCGGACTGCTGACAACAGCTGATTCAACAACAGCTGGGTGTTCAATTAGCGCACTCTCCACTTCAAATGGCCCGATACGGTACCTAGAAGAAGAAAAGAAGCCCTTGGCCACTACATCATCCAAGGAGGAGATCTCCCCTGGCCATCTGTTACTCTCTAAGAGTGGCAAATGCACAAACCCAGAGGATATGATGACATCATCAGCTCTGCCGACAAACCAGAAATACCCATCACTGTCCATCACTCCTCTGTCTCCAGTGGTGTAAAAATCCCCTCTTATTGTGGCAGCAGTTTTCTCTGGATTGTCCT